CCCTTCATACTTTATAACTCTAGTCCCAAGAAATAGGACTAATACCGCATTATAGTCTAACCATATTATTTGAGACTTTGGCAGGTGTCCTTGTTATGTTTGGAAGACGTAGGTTGACCGGCAATGTATCCAAATCTGCAGATGAGTCATGCTGTAACAAGGGTCTACTGTACTGTTAAATTTTGGCTGGTGAGTGACAGAAGGTCCCAATAGCTTATCTTGGCTCAGATCCACTGCCCTCTTGTGCAGTAAGTAACAAACGACACCAACCTGAGAACAGCAGCCAGAGTAGAGGCAGGACCTGATTTAAAAGAAGTCTTAAAGTTGCTTCTACTCCAACCTGTCTTAAGATGCTTCAAAGCAAGATGAAACAAAGTTACCAAGGGTCACCATAGAATCATAGCATGGAAACATCAACCGTGATGTTTCTGAAATATAACTGCTGCTGTTTGGATTTTCGAATTGTTAGGATAGTTTCTCTTAAAAGTGCTTTTGTGACAAAAAAGCGATGTCATTTAAGGGTGTCGTATGATTGCTGACACAAGAGCTATCATTCATTTGGCTCCTCTGCTGATGGTCTTGTAGTAGCAGAAGCTCTAGAACTAAACACATGAAAACAAGGTTCTGGAGCCAGGCTAAAGGCATTTGACTCTTGTCTGTAGAACCTGTGTGATTATGTGGGCAATCCATGTACAAAACAGCAGTTTTGTCAGGACTGAGTTAAAGAGGTTGTAGGAGAATTAAATAAAACAAAACACGTTAAGTTGCTTAGCACAGTACCTAGCACATAGTAAGCACGTAATAAAGGATAGCTCCTTTTATTACTGCTATATGCTGGGTACTATAGTTAGCATCTTACAGACATCATCTCATGTCCTCAGAACAACTCTGCAAGGTAGTCATCGATATTCCCATTTCATCAGTGAGTAAATGGGAATTAAATAATTAGTGTGGGGTCACTCCGCTAATGATACTAGTCACTATTTAAATCCAATCCTGTTGAACTTCGAAGTCTGCAATCATGACGGGACTCTAAAACTGCGTAATTTAATGGGCATTTCGACCATGCCACGTTATTCTTTATTATATCCTTAACCAAACATGATTACCCCAGTCTGCATAGGGGTCGTTATTGTTTGATTTGCAAATTATTGGAGGTCAATAAATGGCTGTTGTGTTAATATCATTTAAAAAAAACAGTAGACTAAGAGTTAGAATGACTGTCATGTATGTGAATTCTAGGTCTCCATGGCATCAGTTGCAAAGCAATAAACTGTACCTGTCTGAAAGGGTTGTCACAAGATTTAAATAAGATTCATACGTACAGTCAGTGTAAATCTTGGTTCAAAGGAGCCAGTCAATAAGTGTTTATTGAAAAACTATGTTACCTATATTATATTATGTATATTCCATATATATTCATGTGCTTCTAAGGATATACAACAAAAAGGCAAAAAAAAAAAAAAAAAAAAAAAGGAAGGAAGGAAGGGAGGGAGGGAAGGAGGGAGGGAGGGAGGAAGAAGAAAGAGTTGGAAGTCCCTGCAACTTGAAGAATAATTAATTCTACTAAAACTGAATGTACAGTCCACCTTCACCCTTATTTGCACTCCTTCATCTTTTCAGTCATCGAAGCTTGTTCCTCTTTTCCTAACTTACGTAAAAATCTATGTAATGCCCCTGGTTCGAATAAACTATAAGCACTACCCGTATGGCTGTGTAGTAACTATTACCTTTCAGAATGTCTAGCGATGATAAAGTGAAGGGGAAAAGAGTGTATATTTTTTAAACTCCATTAATCCCAGAGCTGAAGGTCACATCACTGGTGGTGGTTTGAGTGTGTCCAGGGGAGGGTCTACTCTTCTGGGGATTCACCAACCAGCAATAGTTCTCATTGTCTTAATCTGTATATAACAGGATTTCTAAATGAAGGACCTATGTTAGGTTTATCCTGGCATTCAACCATCAGGGAATATCTGCTGGGTGGGGAGAGATCACCCAACAGGTGTCTATTTGCCTGAAAGACCAAGAAGCCTTCCATGGGAAACTGAATCACAAAGGGTGGAAATCTGAAGACAACTGGTTCCGAGTCAAAGAGGAAAGGTTAGTTTGCATTGAACACAGTATGTGTCACTTACATTGTCCTCTGGGTAAACCCCCATGGCCTCATTTCTTGGTCCTAAGTTCCAGAACGGGGGCTAAAATAAAGTGTAAGAAAAAAATATGAGGATTTGTAAGAAAGACCTTGAAAGACCTTGAAACCATATATTCGAGGATCTGTGTAGCTACAAACAGAACAAGTGCGGGCTGAGAGCTTCTCTCCCTGCTGAGGGCTGGAGCACATGGAGCACGGACACGGGAACTGAGCAAGGTGCATTTGCTTTTGGAAAGGAAATCAGAGCAAACATTCCCCTTCAGGGACTTCAGGGACATTTTGCAATGGCATTGATAACTTGCACAGCATGTTCAGCAGCTCTGGTGGCTGTGGGAGCCCTGACTCTGGACCAGGAAAGGGGATAGACATTAACATGGCTACCAAGATGGATGAGTGAGGAGGCACCCGAGGACTCCGGGCAGGAGTTGGACAGGATCTGAGAAGGGAGGTCTTTGTACAAAACTGTTGGGACAGAGCAGGAGAGCTACACTTCAAGGGTTTTTATTCACTGCCCCTTCTTTTTTAGTCCTTAGGCTGGTACAGCTTAAGAAACATTGATTCCTACAAACAATAGGATTTATGTTAGTTTTAGCTTTAATTTCCACATCAAAAATGGAGCCATTCTTCACCTAAGTGTACTCACAATCATGCTGAACCTCTTGAGTGGTTCATCTACCTGAATTGACTATAGGTTTATCTGGCGAACCATCTGGAAAATACACAAATTTAAGTGTCCAATGAAGAAATGATGATGAACAGCATGACAGTCCCTAAAATTTCCAGATTATTAGTTAAAAAAAATTACTTTGGAATCCATGACGAATCCACTGCTGGTGGAAATAGCCAACATTTCTAGTCCAAGTACACAGGAGAAAAAAGCCGCTCAATCCTATTTTCAAAAGAGACGTACACAATACACAGGATCGTTCACTGAGTGGTAAATCTAATTTGCCTCTGACAGTCTACAGCTGTTCAGTTTCCGTTCCATTTGAGAGTCAGATCTGTAGGTATTCGAGCTCAGTTATTTTTCCAGCAGGTGTCCTCAGAAAAGCTAGTAACTGCACAGTCGGAGAAGGGCTCCCTGTGTGCTCCGCATTCTGGCAGCCTTCCTACTGTGGGACACCCATCCTCATCACAATGATACCTAATCCTGTTGCCATGACCCAGGCGTTTCATGCTGAGCCCTCTTGGTTTTCAACATCATTGTCAAATCAGTGACTTCCCTGGGGCTTCTGGGTGACTCTCCTCCAGTATCAAGTCTCTATTCTGACAGATACAAGAGTCACTTCGACTTGTGTCACAGGAATGATACGAACAATTTGGCTCTGAGACCTCCCTATATGAAGGAACCTCACCAGAGCCTATATGTTTAAAGATAACTGGCTACCATAAATATCTTTCATTTCTCTTCCTTATCATAACTCGATAAATGTTCACTATCATATTTAGAAATGAAGGAAATGTTTTTTGTATGTGGCGGAGTCAGGATTATTGTTTTGTGCCCAACAGTCGTACTCTTACAGTCTCTACAAGAGGGATTTGTCAGGGAGGGGGGGCTCTGGTTGATTAGAGAACTTGCCCCGTAGCTGCTTAGCAAGTTCTCTGTCCCGTTTCGGTCACATGTTTCTTTGGTGGCTTTGTGGTAGATGTCAGGGACTAAAAAACTTGCAACCCATCTTCGGGAACACCACCATACTCATATATTTGGAAGTCAGAATTCAAGTATCTGTGCATTAGACCAACTAAACCTTTGCAAAATCATAGCTTATAGCCAACGGAAATTCAGAGAAAACCAAAACCGGGCGGCAGAATATCATGTTGAACGTTGCATCTCCCTGATCCCGAAGGATATTCCATTTTGGTTTTATGGGTTAAAAGTCTTCTTTCACACCTTACTCTAAAATCATTAAAACCGAGGCATCTTGAAACTTCTGTTATTTTCTTTCACCAGCAGCTGACATCTCCCAAGATGGAAGTGTAGTTGTCGTGTGAGGCGACACCTGCTGCTTGAATAATCCTCAACGTGGCACGAGGGCACCTGCTCTGGTTCTCTACCAGGTGTGGGAGTGTAAGAATGAAAACCAAAATTAAATATGGACCACTTCACAGGTGGGGGAGGCCAGAGCAGGACAGGGGACTACTTTCATCAGAGTTGTGACATAGAGATCTAGCCCTTCTTTCTATTTTGATTTCTTCAAAGGCCTTCAAAGAGAGTTTGCGGAAGTTGATCAATTACACTTCCGAATAAAAGACAACCCGCCGCAGGGCACACCCCGGCTAGTGTTGCTGTCCCCTAGTGCCTCACACTAGAAGTCTGAACAGTTCAGATCCAATCCTCTGTGATGCTGAGAAGGTTCACGCCCTTGAGCAAGACTCTTCGTGCCCTCCCTGGTGAAAAAATAAAGAGAAAGCATTGCACTGGGTTGCTAAGGTCCCCAGCTCCAACGGTGGGCGATTTTATTCTGTCTCAGTTTCCTCTAAAGACTCAAATCCCTTCACACTTCTCTGAAGGATAATTGTGGGCTTTGGACCATCACTCACTCATCATCAGTGCAATTCCAAAGATTCAAGAGAACCTGAAGATTTAGGATTATTCTCACGCCCTCACTGTCATCCATGATCACTTCCAAATGATTCACAGCGTCTTCAGCTTTCTCTCTGAAAGCGCAATAATGAATTCCATCCCTTGGTAGAGTTTGGGTTCGCATGGCAGGGCTGGAGAGGGAAGGAAGGCATTTCTGTCTGGGGTCCACAATGACAAAGGAGCCCACCAGCCCAGTTCCTAGAAGGTCTTACATTTCTGTAGTCAGCCCATTACCTCTCAGCACTGGCAAGACTTACATTAACAATGACTTTGGTGTTAGATTTTAATCCTCGTCTGCTGCCAGCCACACTGGATCGCCACCTCACCTGTCAACTGGGCACTGGGGACCGATTGTCCTTTAGTGCCAACATGAGGTTTACATTCAAGGACAGAGTATTAAGGTCCAAAGGAATGAGTGAACACAATATTTATTTCCCATCATCGTACTGACCTTAAGATAAGAATTTAATTTTTATTTTACTATTTTTTAAATGTTTTTTATTGATTTTTGAGACAGAGAGAGACAGAGCACAAGCAGGGGAGGGGCAGAGAGAGAGAGAGGGAGATACAGAATCTGAAGCAGGCTCCAGGCTCTGAGCTGTCGGCACAGAGCCCGACACGAGGCTTGAACTCATGGACGGTGAGATCATGACCTGAGCTGAAGTCGGATGCTCAACCAACTGAGCCACCCAGTCACCCCAAGACTTTAATTTTTATTTATTTATTTTTTGTTAATTTTTTTTCAACGTTTATTTATTTTTTGGAACAGAGAAAGACAGAGCATGAACGGGGGAGGGGCAGAGAGAGAGGGAGACACAGAATCAGAAACAGGCTCCAGGCTCTGAGCCATCAGCCCAGAGCCCGACGCGGGGCTCGAACTCACGGACCGTGAGATCGTGACCTGGCTGAAGTCGGACGCTTAACCGACTGCGCCACCCAGGCGCCCCAAGACTTTAATTTTTAAATGTAAGCCAAAGAGCATTTCTAGAAAATATCATTCTACCTGTGTGCGGGGGAGGTATGTTTCTTTTAAAGGGCCATGGTATAATTTAGGAAAATGTCTACTTTTAAAAAATCACAGCATACGAAATGGCATTTCTATCTAGGCAGAAATCTGGATATTTCTATCTATTGGTGGGGATTCCAAACACCCACAAGGGTCTGCCTGACCAGGCTCTTGATGTTTTCTTTCTGAGGACTTGCAAACGTTGTCTCTGGTTTGACTGGTGGTAAAAGCCATGTCTCTGGAGCAGAGAAACGTAGAAAAGTTTTGAAGATGTCTGGAAAGCTCTCACAAACCCTGTGTTCTCTGACAGACATATGCTTTTGGAAAAAGGCGCCCCAAGTTTATGAACCAAGACCTGAGCGAGGGAGATAATCATAAACATAGCATAATTCAGAGTTTTCTTCTCTCAATTGTCTTGGAAAGTTTCTCAGTCTGCTGTTTTACAGGATTTCGATTTTCACGTCCATGTAGACATGTTGATGACTCATATCTGAGGCAAAGAAAGAGGCAAGACGCGAAGTGAGGTCATTTCTGACTTGGCGTCCACACGAGCAGTGATAGGAGCACACTCACGCCCACTGGCCACTCGTTCTCCCTGTCCCTAGCTCAGTGTGTAAGGGACACCTTGTCTCCTTCCCAGTGACTTAGGACCTGAGCATCCTGGAAAGTCCCACAAAACTGTCCCTTATGGTCTTCAGGGCGAGGGTTCAGTATCCCTGTAGAAGATGCGGTGTGCTCCCTCCGACTACTCCAGTCTCGCTCTGAAACGCGTTGTCATGTGTTCCAGAAAACACTACTCCCGCCCAGGGGCTCCCGGTACTGCGCTGAGAAGCGGAGCATCCGGCAGGCCCTTGCGTCTCACAGGGCAGCACGTCCACTCCCACGGGGACCCACACGTCTCAAGCCCCGCCGGTACCTGTCGGCCTGGCTGCCACTAAAGCAAGTGCCCTGCCCCCCTCAGTCATCAACACTTTGTAGCGTTTCCCTCGTGAGCCGCCCTCTGCATGTTCTTTCTTATCGTCTCTGCCTCAAAGATGCCAACACAGTAGTGTCTAGCCTGTAAAGGCTCACAGCCTTTTAGCAAATCCACTTTCCAGGGTCTACCCTGGCTGAGCCACAGCACCTTGGGGTGCTTAGCCAAAAGACACACTGCCGTGACAGGTGCAGAGCTGTACGCAGAAGCAGCTCACCTCTTTGGGTCCTTACAGGGGCAGGCTTGCCGAGCCTGACTCCCTGTTCCCCTGGAGGAAGGGCCTCAGGTCCTGTTTGTAAACCAAGGTGGACAACCCACCCTACAGGTTTACCAGCCGGGAACGAGGCAGCCATGTGACACGCAGACACACACACGCACACACATGCACACACACGTACATGCATGCACACACTCCACACACACATACACACACACATAGATAAAGAGACACTTCTAGGGGCGCCTGGGTGGCTCAGTCAGTTGAGCGTCCGACTTTGGCTCAAGTCATGATCTCACGGTTCGTGGGTTCGAGCCCCGCATCGGGCTCTGTGCTGACGGCTCAGAGCCTGGAGCCTGTTTCAGATTCTCTGTCTGCCCCTCCCTCACTTGCGCTCTGTCTCCCTCTGTCTCAAAAATAAATAAACATTAAAAAAAAGAGAGAGAGAGAGACACTTCCAGATGATAGAACTCCTCCGTTATATTGGTACATATCAGTTCTATATCCATGGGTTTGTTTCCCCCACATGATCTCATTGAAGACTGAAGTAACAAAGGTCATCACCACCCACTTTGAAAAACCACATGATTGTTTTTCTACTCTATTGTTGGCTACCCCATTTCTACTTTTCACATATTTTTATAAGAATACGCTTATAGAACAAGAACAAGCGACGAGCAGCCATCGCCTCTTTCAGCCCACCCAAAGACCATGGCGGCTACTCGTTGAAACACAGAGGATTCCAGTCCAAGCGTCTTCCCAGAAGTCACACCCGACACATGGAGGTAAACGGTAGCAAGTCTGCAATCAAGCAACCATGACCCCGTGTTACTTAGGAAGAAAGGGAGACGCAGCAGAGACAGTGGAGGATGGGACAGAGGTGGAAACAGAAGCTCCACACACCCTAGGTTCTAAACACCACGTGTAAGTATTCTCCCGGCGGGGAAGAAAGCAGGGAGGCAAATTGACAAGGAGGACAAGTTCCGCAGTTGGTCATGAGTCTAATTCACCCCCGTGGTGGGAAATGACAATCACAGCAAAGAGAAGTGAGCAGGGTTTGAAACAAAACAGACCAGGTGCAAATCCCACCTCCACCTGTTCCTCACCAGCAGTGTGATTTGATCAAGTCACTTCAGTTGCGTCTTTGTCTCCTCATCTGCAAACAGGGATGAAAATATCTGCTTTGTGGGATCAGCCACTTTGGGGAATTAATGACAGCAACGTGTGTGGAGTGCTTAGCATAGTGGCCAGCTCACGTTAAGCACTCACGAATGGCAGCTGGTGTCATTACCCACAATGCCACAAACTGCCCGGTACTGGGTACACTACAAACGCAGCGGGGTAGCAGAGCCCTGCAAGAAGGTGTTGGGCAAGCCAACTGTGCCTAAATCCCTGACTCTGTTCCCATCATTCGGAATGTTCCTGGGATGCCTTGTTCCCCACCTTCAACCCTCTACCTTGTAGAGATTGTTATGACGATATAGGAAATAAGTCGCAGGAGGTGCTTACTAAGTTTTGAATATAACGCTGTTATTTTTGCTACTTCTTTATTCATAACTGTACATCGAGGAACACCACAAATTGCCTTAACTCACCTTTTTGTAAAGCCAACGTAATTTGTTGGATAATATCACTCGTGTTTCTACAAACAATAGAAGTCATTACTAATTAAGAACAAATTGGGGCACCTGGGTGGCTCAGTCGGTTAAGTGTCTGACTTCGGCTCAGGTCATGATCTCGTCAGTCCTGAGTGCAAGCCCCGCATCGGGCTCTGTGCTGACAGCTCGGAGCCTGGAGCCTGTTTCAAATTCTGTGTCTCCCTCTCTCTCTCCCCCTCCCCTGATTGTACTCTATCTCTCTCTCAAAAATAAATAAATATTTAAAAAATTAAAAAAAAAAAGAAAAAATTAAAAATTCAACACTTAAATGGCATTCGCCTGAAACTGGGGCAATTGCATGAGATGGAGTTAATGTTCTCAGAGTCAGTCAAATCATCCATCTTCCACAAGGTGGCAGACCTTGTTAAAGAGTTACGGAAAAGAAGGCCAGAAAAAAAGAAAGCAATGAATTTCCCAAAGTTGACCAATAGGTGTCTCTTTGCAACCACATATCCCTGAGCTGTTGCATAAAATATAAAGTCAACATTCTGTACAGTCTTTCTTGCTCATCTAACAGATAAGATCATCAACACTTTCCACAAGGTACAAACAGAACACTCATGAGATGAATATCTTATAGCCACCCAAAGGGAAATGGGATTATAAAATCATAACTGGAAAGAATATTCTGAATACAAGTGATTTGACACAAAATAAATCTCATCCAAATGCTAGTCCCATGTTAAACATGGCTTTCTGTTAGAAGTTATCTTAAATATTGACTGATTTTATATGATTGGCACTTACCAAGCGCATAGCATTAGAACTAACTCCACACAATGCTAATGTCTATTAACCTGGAGAATGTGGCCCTGGGAACACACAGGAAATAATGGAAATTCTTAAGCAGGAGAGGGACATCCTGACATCACTTTTGCTATTGTTTTTCACCCCAATTCTCACACACACACACACACACACACACACACACACACAACTTCACATATGACTGTTGACATCACTGAGTAGATACACTTAAGTATGTTGAGTGCATATGTGAGTTTCACCCACATCGCCAGAGAAAAGGGGTCTGTCTCCTTGTTACGAAGTTCAGAATATATAAGCAGAATCCTGTGCTAAGTCTGATTATTTTCCCTTTTATATTGGGAAATATTTGTCCCCAAGTCATTCTAAAAGAAATAAGGGAAGGGTATTAAACATAATTTACAGATAGAGAAGCCCAGGTACTAAAAGGAAGCACTCACTTCTCTTTGGGAGGTTGATTTGTCTTAGCTGAGGCTTAATTAAATTATGAATTAAGAATATAAATACAAATCGATTAGGAAACAAATACACAACGTCGGGAGATGACATCATGTCTTTGTCATTCACACTTCAAAGTTACATATCACAAGCACTTGGCTCTTCTGTAAATCGTTTTAAAAAGCAGCAATGTGTTTTAATATTCTCCAGCTATCACGAACTAATGACATTCCACAACATCATATCAGTCGGGGGAGTTAGTTCCTGCCCTGGCCACTCCAGCGCCATCAGGCCACGATGGAAGCGGAAGGAGAGGCCATTCATTTTAGGAGACAGAGTGCAGCACAAGATGACAGTTTCTGCTTCTGCCAAGCCACGGTTTCTTCTGGTGCTAGATTTACTCCACTGCCTAAACCAGGTAGTCAGTCCGCACTGCTTTTCGCATACGTAAATATCTGCATGCACACACATCTCTGGGCCAAGTGAACAAGTCTGAGGTGCATTCCCGAGCCTCCTAGATCTAATTTATTCTCCTATCTGGCCAGGCAAGAATACGTCTTTCATGAAAAAGACTTGTCCAGGAGAAAACCCACCAGTACGGGGGAGCCTGCGGAGAAGGGCCGGCCTCCCCCGGAGGGCCCAGACCTTTAATTCACGGAGTTTCCACCAATTACCACTGTGAGCTTCTTCAGAACACAGAGGAAATAAGATAAAGTCACATCAAGCCACATCCTAATAAAACCCGTGAATGATTAAGAAATTAGATTGGGTGGGCTTCTCACGCCCCACGTACCCCCGGGAAGATCCATAAAGGAAGGGGCCCTCTAGGGCGCTCCACATCGGGGAGGGGTATTTTCAAGCCCCGCCTTCCCCACGTTCAGCTCTCAGGAGCCTGAGGCCTGAGCCTGTGCCTTCCTTGTGTTGCGCGTGACCCGGGCCCGCCGGCTTCACCCTGGCTGGGCTGTGTCCGCACAGCCCTCTCTTCTCCCTGTGGCGGTGAGTCTAGTTACGTGAGCCTAGGACTAATTCCTTGCATTGGCAAAACCCCCTGGGATTTGTTTCGCCCAAGTGAAACATTTTGAAGCTGCTGTCGTGGCCTGGGCGAAGATTTCTGTCCCCTGGCAAGAGGGTCTCTTAGCCCGTGAGCAAAGCTGACGTCCCGGCGTCATCCCTGTGGCTTGCGGGACAAGAGCCCTGCGTCTGGTCTTAGCCGAGTCCAGCAGCTGGCCTTCGGGTGGGGACTTGAGCTCCCTTCCCCTGTTTTCACCACGCGGCTCTGGCACCAAATGCCCTCTGCTGTGTCTGAGCAGAGCACCTGTGCAGTCTGACTCATGCCATCAGCGCGCAGCTCCCCGGCTCCTGACAGCGGACCAGACCTCACACAGGTCTCCGTGGAGCCAGTTACCACGCAGCCCTGTGTAACGACATGCCTCGCGCACGATCCCGAACGCTACCTGCCCCTCCCAGTAGGTGCGGCAACACGTCCCGACTCCGGTCTGTGTCATGTGCCACGAGCCCCCCTGCACATGTGGTGGGGAACTCGGCCCAGTTACGCGTCTGGAATCCAAATTCACGTTTTGCGTTTTCTCTCCAAGCTGAGGAAATGACTGTCAAACGCTTTGAACGGATTCGTTTCAAGACACGCGTTAGCAGGTCGCCGTCCTAGCTAGCAAGAGAGTCAAAAGCAAAATGCTTTCTGGCGCTCGTCAGCACTGTCAGTGGACTGGACAGGGTTAAAGGAAGAGGGGCAAATGATGTATGTTTTCTCAACTGTGTCGCCTTTCTAACAAAACGTGCCTTTTGCAGGGAGTGGCGTGGACAGCGCAGGGAGGACTCCTGTGCGGTAAACCAGGGGTCTGGATCTCAACAAACCCTCGCAAGAAGTAGCAAGCTCAGAAAACTTGCCCTGAATTATACTCTGGTTCATAGTGTGCAGGGGAATGTAATACATATTCATGTCTTCCTGTCTCCTACAAATACTGTTCCTTTTAACATAAAGATTCATCTAAATTCGTTTCCCTGGCATTTAAATTATGACTGCTGGAAGAAAAAAAAAGAAGCATTGAAATCGGCTCAGAAACTTGCGAGTGCCCCCTCCCAGCCTCCCCCTCCTTCCCCCGGCACACACACTCTTGTTTTCTCCTCCCAAGATTAAGAAGTTATGCAGCCTGACAATGCGTTTTCCTCTTACAAGTCTTGACTTCACCACCATTATTTTTTTTTTCACTTTTTTCTTCTAGCACCTGTTAGAAACAAAGCTAGGGTGCTTGTTGAAAATCTGTCCTTTCCTGGGTCGTTGAGCAGAAGGTGGGGAGAAAAGCCAGGAATGGTCAGAGATGCTTGAAATGACGGTTGGAATTTTACTTTCAAAGTTAGCCACCTTAGCGGACTTTTAGATTCCGGACCGGATACAAA